TCCCCAGCTGTCGCCCGGCAACCTCCCCATTCGTCACCTAGCAACCAAGTAAACAAAGGCAGAGAGCTGAATAGCCGGTTGGGCCGCACTTCCTGCCTCTCTGTGCGTCGGTTCCAGGTAGGCCCGTCTCTCTCTCTGCCTTCCTTCTCCTCTTGCCTGGACAATGCTTCCTTCAGTCCTGACTGGTTGGAGATCCGTAGATCCAAGGAAATTCTGGGAGGGGGCACAATGCATAAATCTGCTTTATTGGGGGGGGAACAGGTTCACATGTATCATGGTAACCTCAGCGCCTAATCATGGCTCCCAGCGGGAACGATGCAACCGTCTATACATAGGGAAGGTGAGCCCAATTATCAGTAATGGCTGGGGCCATGTTAACCCTTTCAGCCAACTCCTGGAGATCCACCACCATCCCCATTCCTCTATATAGACCTTTGTATCACTAGAGGGGTCACCGGCAGGAGGAAGGAGGTCCTGATTCCTCTATATAGATCCTATCACTAGAGGGGTCACCGGCAGGAGGAAGGAGGTCCTGATTCCTCTATATAGATCTATCACTAGAGGGATCACCAGCAGGAGGAAGGAGGTCCCGATTCCTCTATATAGATCCTATCACTAGAGGGGCCACCGGCAGGAGGAAGGAGGTCCCGATTCCTCTATATAGATCTATATATCACTAGTCACCGGCGGGAGGAAGGAAGTCCTGATTCCTCAATATAGATCTTTATATCACTAGAGGGGTCACCGGTGGGAGGAAGGAGGTTCTGATTCCTCTATATAGATCTATCACTAGAGGGGTAACGGGCAGGAGGAAGGAGGTCCCGATTCCTCTATATAGATCCTATCACTAGAGGAGTCACCAGCAGGAGGAAGAAGGTCCCGATTCCTCTATATAGATCCTATCACTAGAGGGGTCACCGTCAGGAGGAAGGAGGTCCCGATTCCTCTATATAGATCTTTATATCACTAGAGGGGTCACCGGCGGGAGGAAGGAGGTCCCGATTCCTCTATATAGATCTTTATATCACTGGAGGGGTCTCCGGCAGGAGGAAGGAGGTCCTGATTCCTCTATATAGATCTTTATATCACTAGAGGATCACCAGCAGGAGGAAGGAGGTCCCAATTCCTCTATATAGATCCTATCACTAGAGGGGCCACCGGCAGGAGGAAGGAGGTCCCGATTCCTCTAAATAGATCTATATATCACTAGTCACCGGCGGGAGGAAGGAAGTCCTGATTCCTCAATATAGATCTTTATATCACTAGAGGGGTCACCGGTGGGAGGAAGGAGGTTCTGATTCCTCTATATAGATCTATCACTAGAGGGGTAACGGGCAGGAGGAAGGAGGTCCCGATTCCTCTATATAGATCCTATCACTAGAGGGGTCACCAGCAGGAGGAAGGAGGTCCCGATTCCTCTATATAGATCCTATCACTAGAGGGGTCACCGTCAGGAGGAAGGAGGTCCCGATTCCTCTATATAGATCTTTATATCACTAGAGGGGTCACTGGTGGGAGGAAGGAGGTTCTGATTCCTCTATATAGATCTATCACTAGAGGGGTAACGGGCAGGAGGAAGGAGGTCCCGATTCCTCTATATAGATCCTATCACTAGAGGGGTCACCAGCAGGAGGAAGGAGGTCCCGATTCATCTATATAGATCCTATCACTAGAGGGGTCACCGTCAGGAGGAAGGAGGTCCCGATTCCTCTATATAGATCTTTATATCACTAGAGGGGTCACCGACGGGAGGAAGGAGGTCCCGATTCCTCTATATAGATCTTTATATCACTGGAGGGGTCTCCGGCAGGAGGAAGGAGGTCCCTGATTCCTCTATATAGATCCTATCACTAGAGGGGTCACCGGCAGGAGGAAGAAGGTCCTGATTCCTCTATATAGATCTATCACTAGAGAGGTCACCGGCAGGAGGAAGTAGTAGGAGTAGTGGCCATTGGTTGGGATGAGTACGGAGTAGAGGCCATTGGTTGGGATGAGTACGGAGTAGTGGCCATTGGTTGGGATGAGTATGGAGTAGTGGCCATTGGTTGGGATGAGTATAGAGTAGTGACCATTGGTTGGGATTAGTATGGAGTAGTGACCATTGGTTGGGATGAGTACAGCGTAGTGACCATTGGTCGGGATGAGTACGGAGTAGTGGCCATTGGTTGGGATGAGTACGGAGTAGTGGCCATTGGTTGGGATTAGTACTGAGTAGTGGCCATTGGTTGGGATGAGTATAGAGTAGTGACCATTGGTTGGGATTAGTATGGAGTAGTGACCATTGGTTGGGATGAGTACAGCGTAGTGACCATTGGTCGGGATGAGTACGGAGTAGTGGCCATTGGTTGGGATGAGTACGGAGTAGTGGCCATTGGTTGGGATTAGTACTGAGTAGTGGCCATTGGTTGGGATGAGTATAGAGTAGTGACCATTGGTTGGGATTAGTATGGAGTAGTGACCATTGGTTGGGATGAGTACAGCGTAGTGACCATTGGTCGGGATGAGTACGGAGTAGTGGCCATTGGTTGGGATTAGTACTGAGTAGTGGCCATTGGTTGGGATGATTGCTCCAGATCACAGGAATACCATGTGTCCTGGCAAAGCCCAAACACAACGTTCATCTTCCAGTCTAGGAGAGGTGGGACGCACCCGGGAGGAATGATTCTGTGTACAAAAACCTCACAGAGCGCCCCCCTCAGCTCCTCCTCCCAATGTCCCTCCAACCAGAGTCAGAGAATCCCATGACATCACACTGAACTCACAGCTCCTCCTCTCAATGTCCCTCCAACCAGAGTCAGAGAATCCTATGACATCACACTGACCTCACAGCTCCTCCTCCCAATGTCCTGCAACTAGAGTCAGAGAATCCTATGACATCACACTGACCTCACATCTCCTCCTCCCAATGTCCCTCCACCCTCTTCTGGTGTCTTTTTTCCCAATACTGCTGTTAGGATGGGGGGGGGGGGGGGCGCTTGGCAGCCTCTCTTGGAAGGCAAGACTGATGTTCCTCCATTATATGTAATGATGTCACAATGCCTGAAACAAGCTTTTATCCCATGTAGTGTGGTGGTCCTGTGTGGGCAAATTATACCTCAGCCTGAAGTGGGGCTTTATGACCTGAATAGTGAGAAGGATTCTGGGAATGTCCTTTAATTTTTTTTATTTGTGGTCAGATCTAGAACTTTCTTCCTGAGACGTCTGGAGACCATTTGACATCACAGAAAGAAGAAGATTCTAGAGTGGGAGTATTTAGAAGGACACAAAGACCTCTACAAGGACGTCATGATGGACAATCAGCCGCCCCTCACATCACCAGGTAAGAGGAGACTTTATTGGAAAGGAGAGAGCAGTACGGAGGGTCCACCTAGATCCCCCTTCATCTGATAAACACATAGAAACAATGGATTCAGTCAGTGTGTGTGTTTCCTACAGATGAATCCATTCATGGGAACCCACCAGAGAGATGTCCCCATCCTCTGTATTCCCGGGAATCCACACAGGAAGGTCACACCATCCCTCACCATCATCAGGTAGGTGGATCAAGTCATGGGAACCCACCAGAGAGATGTCCCCGTCCTCTGTATTCCCGGGATTCCACACAGGAAGGTCACACCATCCCTCACCATCATCAGGTAGATGGATCCAGTCATGGGAACCCACCAGAGAAATGTCCCCATCCTCTGTATTCCCGGGTTTCCACAAAGGTCAATATTAAAGAAGAGATCAAAGAAGAGCATGGGGTGATGGAGAAGTCAGAGATTCCAGAAGAAGCCAAAGATCTGTACCAGGACACCATGGTGGAGTCATCCAGCTACAGGAATCCACAGAGAGATGTCCCCGTCCTCTGTATTCCCGGGATTCCACACAGGAAGGTCACACCATCCCTCACCATTACAAGGTTGGTGGGACGGAGAATCTAGAACATGGACTCATGGAGACGATGTGTGGATTTTCTATGTGATGTCACAATAAATCTTCTATCTTACAGATAATATTTTCTCTCCTTCTCTTGATGTAGATGTTTGATGTCAAAGAAGAGTATAAAGAGGAGGATGAGGAGTATGGAGTGATGGCGGAGTTTTCAAAAGGACACAAGGATATGATAGAGCCACCTAATACCAGGAACCCACCAGAGAGATGTCCCCGCCCTCTGTATTCCCGGGATTCCACCCAGGAAGATCACATCATCCCTCAGCATCATCAGGTAGGTTGATCCAGTCATGGGAACCCACCGGAGAGATGTCCCTGTCCTCTGTATTCCCGGGATTCCACACAGGAAGGTCACACCATCCCTCACCATCATCAGGTAGGTGGGACGGAGCACCATGGAGTGAGATCATGGAGAAGATCTATAGACCTTACAATATTTAATATACAATATTTTCTATCTTTGGTTTAGAGTGGAGATCCAATCGATATAGAATTTGAGGTGAAATCAGAAGAAGAAGAGGCGTATGTGAGGGATGATCAGCAGTCTATGGAGGAGGATGGAATAACGGGGACATTTATAGAGGAGGACACTCCTACAGAGATCAGCACAGGTGGGTCATGAACACTAAATCCATTCCTCCACCCATACTGCTCACTGATTGGTCCAGATGATAAAGTTCTCATTGGATCTCTCTGTCTGACAAGAGCCTGGAGCTCAAGAGGAACCATTCACCTTGTAAGCTCCTCAGAGACCAAGCTGCCTAATGTGGGCGGAGTCCTGGTTTGGGGGAACCAATCAGCTCCTGTCTAGTAATCCTCTTTGTCTTTGTATTTTAGTCCATGGCCGGAAGATGAGGAAAACCTCCGAGGATTGTCTCACTTTGTCTCCAGACTGGAAAGTAGAAGATGAGGACATCACACAGTATAGTCCAGGAGAAAACCCGGCTGCCTCCAATGTCCATCGGCACCACCCAGTGTAGATGGACCATCGGATTCCTCGTATCCTGAGGAACCTCAGACTGTGCGGGACCGGGCCGGCCTTCCAGCAGGGAAGAGCTTCTCCTGTGCTGAGTGCGGGAAGTGTTTCCGTTATCGATCTGATTTTAATGTGCATAGGAGATCTCACAAAGGTGAGAAGACGTATTCCTGTCCTAAGTGCGGGAAATGTTTCAATTCGAAAAGCAATCTTAATGCGCATAAAAGAACTCACATGCAGGAGAAGCCGTATTCCTGGCCTGAGGAACCTCCGACTGTGCTGGACGGGGCCGTCCTTCCAACAGAGAAGAGATTTTCCTGTACTGAGTGCGGGAAGTGGTGTTTTCGTTTGAAAAGCAATCTTATCGTGCATCAACGGTCTCACACGGGTGAGAAGCCATATTCCTGTCATGAGTGCGGGAAATGTGTTTTTCAAATAAGTCACATCTTAACATACATCAGAGATCTCACACGGGGGAAAAACCATATTCCTGTTCTGAGTGCGGGAAATGTTTTTCAGATAAGGGTCATCTAACCTCACATCAAAGATCTCACACGGGGGAGAAGCCGTTTTCCTGCCCTGAGTGTGGGAAGTGTTTCAGTTTTAAACGCACTCTTAATGTACATAAAAGAACTCACACAGGTGAGAAGCCATATTCCTGTCCGGAGTGCGGGAAATGTTTTTCAGTTAAGTCACATCTTTGTAGTCATCAGAAAGTGCACAAGAAAGAAACGTATTTTTGTTCTGAGTGCGGGAAAAGTTTTGTTAAAAAATCACACCTGGTCACACATCAATGGACTCACACAGGTGAAAATCCGTACTCCTGTTCTAAGTGTGGGAAATGTTTTTCAGCCAAATCCTCTTATACCAGACATCAGAGATGGCACGCAGGAGAGAAGCCGCATTCTTGTACTGAGTGTGGGAAATGTTTTCAACAAAAATCAGAACTTATCATACATCAGAGATCTCACACCGGGGAAAGGCCGTATTCCTGTTCTGAGTGCGGGAAATGTTTTTCAGTAAAGTCCTACCTTTCTCAACATCAGAGATCTCACACGGGGGAGAAACCATATTTCTGTCCTGAGTGCGGGAAATGTTTTCCAAAGAAGCATGATCTTAGAAAACATCAGAGATCTCACACGGGGGAGAAATCGTATACCTGTGCTGAGTTCGGGAAATGTTTTTCAGAGAAGTCCAATATTTCCCAGCATCAGAGATCGCACACGGGGGAGAAGCCGTATTCCTGTCCTGAGTGCGGGAAATGTTTTTCAGAGAAGTCCAGTCTTTGCAGACATCAGAGATCTCACACAGGGGAGAAGCCGTATTCCTGTTCTGAGTGCGGGAAATGTTTTTCAGAGAAGTCTGATCTTCAAAGACATCAGAGGACTCACACAGGAGAGAAGCCGTATTCCTGTCCTGAGTGCGGGAAATGTTTTTCAAGGAATTTTGGTCTTTACAAACATCAGAAATTGCACACGAGGGAGAAGCCACGTTCCTCTCCTGAGTGAGAGATATGTTCCTCACTGAAGTCCTGTCTTCCTGTACATCAGGGGTCCCACACAACCCTGGAGGTGTATTAGTGCCTTGAGTGCGGGAAATATCTTCTAGATGAATGTTGCTGGACATCCCAGCTCTCATGTGGGGGCAGAAGCACCCCCTGATATACACTTCAGATATACTCCATGGCTGATCTTCATCATGGAAAAAAAAACGTTCATAAGGAGGTCAGAGGTCACCAAAGACGTGGATGAAGTGTGGGACCGGGTTGGCCATTGATGACAGGAGAAGAATAAAAATGACGTCCTCACCTGTCATTGGCTGAGTGCATTTTGTGGTGGGAAATTTCATAGATGCTGAGGTCTGTTTTTGAAAAAAATAGTTAAACGAATGTGACGGCACGTCTCCAGTCATGACAAATTTCTGATCATGGGCCCCATATAGTGTCCAAAAATGTGAGGCGGTGGTAGTAATAGCACATTCTGGCCACTAGATGGGGAAGGAAATAAAATGGTGGTTATAGTTAAAGTGGTAGTAAGTCTCTGCCCCTCCCCCCAAAAAATTCCCTGCAAAATAATTGCATAATGTGCTAGTAGGAATCACACACAACAGGGCATCGGGGTATCGCACACAATGGGGCATCGCACACAAGGAGGCATCGCACACAAGGAGGCATCGCACACGACAAGGCATCGCACACAATGAGGTATTGCACGCGACAGGGCATCGCACACGACAAGGTATCGCACACCATGGGGCAACTCACACAATGGGGCATCGCACACAATGAGGCATCGCACACGACGGGGCAACTCACAACGGGGCATCGCACACGACGGGGCATCGCACACGACGGGGCACCGCACACAGTGGGGCATCGCACACAACGGGGCATCGCACACAACGAGCCATCGCACACAACGGGGCATTGTATACAACGGGGCACCGCACACAACGGGGCATCTCACATAATGAGGTATCGCACACAACGAGGCATCGCACACAACGGGGCATCGTATACAACGGGGCATCCCACATAATGAGGTATCGCACACAACGAGGTATCGCACACAACAGGGCATCACACACAACAGGGCATCGCACACAATGAGGTATCGCACACAACAGGGCATTGCACATAATGAGGTATCGCACACAACGGGGCATCGTATACAACGGGGCATCGCACATAATGAGGTATTGCACACAATGAGGCATCACACACATTGAGGCATCGCACACAACGGGGCATCGCACACAATGAGGTATCGCACACAACGGGACATTGCACATAATGAGGTATCGCACACAACAGGGCATTGCACATAAGGAGGTAACGCACACAATGGGGCATCGCACACAACGAGGCATCGCACACAACGAGGCATCGCACACAACGAGGCATTGTATACAACGGGGCACCGCACACAACGGGGCATCTCACATAATGAGGTATCGCACACAACGAGGCATCGCACACAACGGGGCATCGTATACAACGGGGCATCCCACATAATGAGGTATCGCACACAACGAGGTATCGCACACAACAGGGCATCGCACACAACAGGGCATCGCACACAATGAGGTATCGCACACAACAGGGCATTGCACATAATGAGGTATCGCACACAACGGGGCATCGTATACAACGGGGCATCGCACATAATGAGGTATTGCACACAATGAGGCATCACACACATTGAGGCATCGCACACAACGGGGCATCGCACACAATGAGGTATCGCACACAACGGGACATTGCACATAATGAGGTATCGCACACAACAGGGCATTGCACATAAGGAGGTAACGCACACAATGGGGCATCGCACACAACGAGGCATCGCACACAACGAGGCATCACACACAACGAGGCATCGTATACAACGGGGCATTGCACACAATGAGGCATCGCACACAACGGGACATCCCACACAACAGTATGTTTCCTCAGCACTGTACTGCAGGTAGAGGTTTCAAGTATGCTATTCAGTAGGCACGAAGGGTGGAATCCATAATTGGCCCACAAAAGTGACTGATTCGTAGCTGAATGGACGGAATTATTGTAGGCAGGTTCCTCCAATGGGAGTGGAGATGCCCAATCATCCTGGGAAAAGGCGGAGAAACATCGTAGATATTGCTCTAACGTCTGGTTGGTTCGCTCCGTTTGCCCATTACTCTGAGGGTGGTAGGCCGATGATAGGCAGAGTTCCACTTTCAGGGCATTGCAGAGGGCTCCCCAGAACCTGGAGGTAAATTGCACCCCTCAGTCTCACAAGATATTGCTGGGCAGTCCATGTAGCCTCACAATCTCCTTGATGAAGGCATGTGCTGTCTCAGGCGCAGATGGAGTGCCCATCATTGGCAGGAAGTGGGCCATTTTGGATAGCCGATCTATCACTACTAGGATGGTAGTAAACCCCTCAAGTCCACAATGAAATCCACTGCGATCATTTCCCAGGGGCGATTAGGGATGGGCAGGGGCCTCAGTAACCCCCATGCCTTGGTTTTGTCTACCTTGCTGCGTAGACACACTGCAGGATTTTACGTAGGCTCTGCAGTCCTGACTTACGTTGGGCCACCAAATGGATCGCTGGATCAGTTCCACTGTTTTTCGGGCTCCGAAGTGACCAGCAAGTTGATGGTCGTGGAATGTCTTGAAAACTTGGGATCTTACCTCCTGAGGTACAAAGATCTTACCCTGGTGCCAAAGAAAGCCATCCTGCCTCCTTAACGAGTCCTGTTCGGGTTCAGCAAACCATGCAGAGGCCTGTTCAATCGAAAGCTTCAGACTGGGCTGGATCAACAAAAAATTTTGGGCAGACAGGATGGTATCGTGGGGGGGGGGGGGGGGGGGGGGGGCTGGGGGAAGGTTCAACTGAATCCGGGAACATACGGGATAGAGCATCTGCCTTCCCATTTTTGGATCCTGGGCGGTAGGTGATGTGAAAGTTGAACCTGGAGAAATATAAGGCCCATCTAGCTTGCCGGGGTCTTAGGCACTTGGCGGATCTTAAATATTCCAGATTCTTATGATCTGTGATGATCATAATCGGGTGACTAGCTCCTTCCAAAAGGTACCTCCATTCTTCGAATGCCATTTTGATCACCAGAAGTTCCCTGTTGCCTATGTCGTAGTGCCTTTCAGCTTGGCTTAGTTTCCTAGAACAAAAGGCTACTGGAGCTGAGCTTTTGGGCCTCGATGTTGCAAGAGCATGGCTCCTTTGGCCACCTCCGTTGGGTCCACCTCCAGGATGAAGGGAAGTGTTGGTTCTGGATGTTGTAACACAGGAGCAGATGTAAATGTCTTTTTTAATTGCTCAAAGGGTATTTGTGCTTCCTGGCCCCAGAGAAAACGTGTATGCTGACAAGTGAGTTGGGTAATGGGGGCAATAATGGTTGAAAAGCCCATGATAAACTTCCGATAGAAGTTGGCAAAGCCCACAAATCTTTGGACCCCTTTCTTTTCAGTAGATGCAGGCCAATCCAAGATGGCGGAGATTTTCTGAGGATCCATGGAGATTCCTTCAGTGGAGATTATGAGACCAAGAAACTGGATGGACTGCTTCTCGAACTCACACTTTTCCGCCTTAGCGTACAGGCCACGCGTCTTCAGCGTAGTCAGTACCCTCTTAACATGGTCTCGGTGGAGTTCCAATGAGTTGGAGAAAATCAAGATGTCGTCCAGGTAGGCGATCAAAAAGAGATCAAGATATTTCCTGAAGAAGTCATTCACGAAGTGTTGAAATGTCGCAGGGGCGTTGCATAATCCAAATGGCATCACTAGGTTCTCGAAATGTCCAAAGCGCGTTCTAAAAGCGGTCTTCCACTCACCTTCCCTAGTGTGAACTAAATTGTAGGCCCCTCATAAATCTAGTTTTGTCAACACTCGGGCTGTCCGAAACCTCTGAAATAACTTGGGAACGAGAGGGAGTGGGTAACGATTCTTAATGGTGATCTTGTTGAGTTCCCTATAATCAATGCAGGGACGTAGAGACTGATCTTTTTTTCTCAACAAAGAAAATACCTGCCCCGGCAGATAAGGAAGAGGGACGGATGAACCCCTTGGCGAGGTTTCTCGTCGATATATTGCCAGAGGGCTTCCAGTTCTAGTTTGGACATTGGGAAGATTCGCCCAAATGGTATTTCTGCCCCTGGAAGCAGCTCAGTAGGGCAGTCATATGATCGATGAGCTGGTAAAGTGTCGGCCTTCTTCTGATCGAATACATCAAGGAAATGGTGGTAGGTAGGGGGAATGGATTGACTGGCATCTGAAGTAGGGCTCAACTGAGAGGCACACGGGAGAATTGGTGGGTGTGGAGGTGCCACAGTGTTGAAGGCAGTAACTTGATGGGAAGGTGACTTCTTTATTGAGCCAGTTGATTTGTGGGTTGTGAGCTTGCAACCAGGGTATTCCTAGGATGGCTGGAAACATGTGGGATCTAAGGACATTGAAGCGGATGAATTCCTGATGGCTGGAGTCAGTTGTTGCTAGGACAGGAATGGTTTCTTGGGTAATGGGTCCTGAGCTAGGAGTGGTGCCATCTGCTAGTTGTACATCGAGCTTTTGTGTTTTAGGAAGAAGAGGAATACGTAAGTCCTTGGCAAGGTTGATGTCCAAGAAACAACTACAGGCTCCCGAATCAACGATTGCCCGCAATTTGACTTCCCTTCCAGCCACCTGTAATGACATGGGTAGAACGACATGGGTGGTTAAGTTTCCGGATAGCTGGAGGTATGAAGGATGAGGTTGATGGACTTTCTTGTTCGCACTGGGCAGTTGAGCAAGAAAT